CATTAAGTATGACAAAATATTCAAAGTACATGTCTTAGTTTATTTTATGCTGCCACAGCAGAATATCACAGCCTGGATAATCTATGAAGAAGAGAAATTTTTTTTCTCATGGCTCTGGAGCTGAAAGTCCAAAAGCAGAGAGTTGGCATGTGGTCTGGTGAGGACCTTACCATCCCACCTACCCCTGGCAGAGGCAGAAGGGATAAGCCCACAAGCTTGACTAATGCTGCCTGAAGCCTGGTTTATACACACTCTAATCCCATTAATGAGGAAGAAGACTTGGTGGCATAATCACTTCTCTAAGGACTCACCTCTTCATATTTTCACATGGGTACCCCCTGAATTTTGAAGGGAATTAAGTTTCAATGTGAATTTTGCAGAGGAAAAACACAAACCATAGCACTTATCTCATTTTCTTCCTGACTTATATTTAACAAATTTAATTTAATTTAACATTTTGTTTTTCTGGCTGTACATATATATCTTTGACAAAGATATTTCTGGGTGGTGACTGTGGCTCAGTGCGTAGGGTGTGGCCCCATATTGTGAGGGTGGTGGGTTCAAACCTGGCCCCAGCCAAATTGCAACAACAAACTATTTCTTTTCTTTTATTGTTTGGGGTTCATTGAGGGTGTAGGGTACACAGAGTTAGGTCACACTGATTGAATTTGTTGGGTACAGTCCCTCTTATAATTGTGTCCCACTCCCAAAGGTGTGTCATATACCTTGACCCTTACTCTCCTCCCTTCTCCCCTCTCCCCACTCCCTCATTTCCCTACCCCTACCTTGTATTAGATTATCTACTGTCTTCATGTTAGAATTGAGTACATTGCATTCTTGCTTCTCCATTCTTGTGATGCTTTTACTAAGAAGAATGTGTTCCACCTCAATCCAGGTTAATACAAAAGATGCAAAGTCTCAATCTTTTAATGACTGTCATGCATGTGGAGAGATGGGATCATTTTTACACTGTTGGTGGGACTAAAAACTAATACAATCTTTCTGGAAGAAAGTATGGAGAATTTTCAAAGCACTCAAATTGGACATCCCATTTGATCCTGCAATCTGATTACTTGGTGTGTACCCAGAAGAAAAAAAATTATCATTAAGAACATTTACAGAACACTGTTTGTCATGGCTCAATTTACAATCACCAAATTGTGGAAATAACCTAAACATTCATCAATCCAGGAATGGATTAACAAGCTGTGGTATATGCATACCATGGAATACTATTTAGCAATTTAATTTATCATTAACCCAAGATTCCGTAGTTCTTTGATGAAAAATGTTTTTTCAAGACCACAACATAATTGCTAGCAATGCTTATTTTTAAAATTCTATCTCCAACCTTAATTTGTTCCATGTGATATAATGTATGCACAGATTCTGGGAATTAGAATGAATATCATTTTGAAGCAATTATTCTATCACAATATTCCTGTGCATTTTCACCATCTATCTTTGAAGGAAGATGTAGTTATCTGTTAATGTTTTGATATAAAAATTTCACATTCCTCTAGAGGTTGATCTTCAGTCTAGACAGAAGACTTCCAATTGTCATATTGATTAGTACTTATGTTAATTAATGTATATATAATTTTCTCTTCTTTTATAATTTAAGATTTTGTCAGTTTTTTCATTTTATTATTGTTGTTGTTTTTCATTAATGATTATTCAATAATATGTGAACCCAGCCTAAGAGAATTAAAAATAGTACTTTCTATCAGTAACTTTTTATCTCATTTGTGTAATTCATAGAACACCATGCAAAAGCAATTCCAAGAAGCCATTTTAATGTAGTAACATGTCCAGTGTTTTGTTTTCAGAATCTTGACCATGTGGAGAAGAAATGGCACAGTTGCATCTGGAGCCTTGGACACCTATCAGTATGCTGTTTCAATACTCTAGGTGAAATGGTCTTAAGAACAGAAGCAAAGAGAATGGATCAAATAATATTTTAGACATAAAAGTAGAATGATTTTGGGTGGTGCCTTTGGCTCAAAGGAGTAGGGCACCACCCCCATATGCTGGAGATGGCAGGTTCAAACCCAGCCCCTGCCAAAAACTGCAAACAAAACAAAACAAAAAAAAAGTAGAATGATTTCATAACTAATTGGATAAATTGGGAGGAAAGGAACACAAGATATCTCCTCTCAGATTGATGTCTACCTCAGTAATGGTGCCTTCTTAAAAAGAAGGTCAGAAGGTGCCTATGGCTCAAAGGAGTAAGACACTGGCCCCACATGCCGGAGGTGGCGGGTTCAAACCCAGCCCTGGCCAAAAACTGCAAAACAAAAAACAAGGTGAGATGAACAACAGGCTTTTTTGAAGTAGACTATTTCAATTTGGGATATATTCAGGCTCTGATGCTTATGACAACCTCTAGGCGAGATGTGGATTTGGAAATCATTGTAAATTCAACCTATAAACCAGTTAAGATTACTCAGGGGCATAATCAAAGGGAGAAGAGAAACAAAAGGAAGAGCGGACCTTGGGGAATATTAATACTTAAGCTCTGGGTAGAACAAAGAGAATGTCGTAAAGCACATACAGAACAAGCTCTCAGGTCGGCGTATTCTAGTAGCGGCAAAAATCAGCTAACAAATTCCAACAGATGAGATTTTTAACTCTATAACAGATGAAGATAATTTTAAAATTGAACTGTATTTATCAGAGTTGGTAAGGCTCAGTGGCTACTATTTTCTTCTAATTCTTAATAAATAGACTTAAAATAGTTTAACGTATCATGCCCAAGGTTAAACAGCCCATAAGTTGAGAAGTACCATTTTCATCAAAAATATTTGATTTGTCTATCTTAAATAGTATAGTTTAAAAAATAAATAAGAAAAATTTAAAGGAACAAAAAAATCGAAGATAAATGAATAATAAATACTTACCAGTCCTTGAGGTAGAAAAAATATTTTTAATTTTAAATCATTACAAAAATCTAAATTATAGAACAATTTTTTTTATAAAAATGTTAAAATCCATGTTAAAAAATAAAGCTAAGAGGAAACATGCCATTTTAAATGAAGTCTTGCTACCTGTAAATTTTTATTTCAAACATGCTACACTTCTACCATTTTTTAAAACACCTAAGAAGATTCACAAACACCAAATCTTGTAACACTGAAAACTATAAAATGTTACAATAATCTGAACGGAAGTACAAGACCTATGGGGCAGAACTGAGAATTACAATTGGCAGCTGACATGAGCTTGCCAACTGGAACAGATGGTAGAGATATGCTTTGGTCCTGAGCCACAACCTCCCCCTGGTAAGAGACCAGCATCGATGCCAGCAGAAAACTTGGAAGCTGCACTCCCCCCACACAGACACCATATTTTTAGGGGATCACAGCATACCTGATCTTCTGTTTCTACACCTCTTTTAAGCACCTCTCATAATACATAGATAATAAAACATTTTAAAAGATGGAAAGAAGAAAGAAAGGCTGGGATTGCGGTGTTGTATCCTGGAGGGTGATGCCTCGGCATGTCAGATTTTGTGGGTGAGGTCATCCACGGAAGTGTTCACATCTGCCAAGGATCATAGTTTGTTTATTTGTTTGGATTCTTTTAGCACAGTGTCAGAGAAAGTTGTCAAGAGTTTTGAAGATTATTATGCAGGCTTCGGTCAAGTAGAATTACATTACAAGTATTTTCCAGCCCAAGGAAATGGGTTGGGAAGCTGTATCATAACTGACCATTTGTACCACGGTGTACACACATCAATAAGTGTGCTTTGCTGGCTTCTTTCCTCTCCACTAAATCGGCCAGTATTTGAGCTTTGTGTTTAGAAAGCAATCAAATGCTATAAAGTGCCGTATGTTAAAATGGTCTTCCTCACCCCTTAGCTTTAGCCATGAAATATCCAGCCAGTTTACTTCTTGGACATAAAAGGGAAATGCTGCAGTCCAGCCGTTCTTTCTCAATGCTACCTAAGATAGTAGCTGATGGATAGTGAGAAAACCCAGGGAACAGCCCCCCAGTGTTCCTCCAGAAACAAGAGGAGAGACAGCTCCTCTAGTGAAGAGAAGGAACCTAAATAAACAGAACCAAAATATACACACATGAAAAAATGCAGGGCAGAACAATATCATGGCTCTAAGATTCAAAGACTTTAACTCCAAAGACAATTTGATTCTCTAGAATCATAAACTCCAGTGTCCTCTACACCAACTTGCTCCAGACCTTTTATTTCTGCTTTTACTTCTGATTTTCAATGTCACTGAGACTTTCAAACTCTGAATCTCTCTCTCTTTTTCTTTCCCCTCAACCTATTCTTAGCTACTTTCTATCTAGCACAAACTCCAGCCTCACCGTTGATATTACTCTTGTGAACATCCTCAGCTTCCTCATTCAGTTGTGTGTCAGTTGCAACAACATAGAAGAAGTTCAGAGTTGGATAAACCGAGTAGCTGTGTTCTCTAAGCCTCTGTTGGGCATGCTGAGCTGCAATTGGTATAATTGCAAAGATTGTGATCTAATATTGCTATTCTATATTGTCCCCTATTACAGAGTAGAGTGAGTGATCATATTTTTCAACTCTCTTTAAACTTATCCCAGTTTCATCCATTCTTTCAGCATGGAAGCTTCCTTGCGATCGTTGGATGACCATATACTCCTTACCACCGAATTTTACAATTTCTTTCATTACTTTCATTACTTGTTGAGTTCTTTCTGTTGTAGAGAAAAAGAAGCTTCTCTGTCCACATAATAAAACAAAATAGGAGCAGCACCACGTTTAACCGTGTTTGAATATTCAGCTTGTTATCAGTAGTTCTGGCTGATGGACAAATGCAGCTGTACCTGCCAGGCAGAGACCAGTGAAATAAGAAGTTCTGCAACGTTCAGGAAAGTTATCCACGTTGAACATGATCCTTCACTGACCACAATTTTCAGATGTTCCTCTGGAATTCAAACAGGTTATAAAAATGATGTTTATAAGTATGTGACTATCAAATATAATTTTGATTTAAATGTAGACCACCATTGTGCTCGGTTCAGCAGCACATGTACTAAAATTGGAATGATACAAAGAAGATTTATATGGCCCCGGTGCAAGGATGGCACGCAAATTCGTGAAGTATCCTATATTTTTAACTGAAGCTAGAAATGCTTATGAATAGTGAGAGCATAGGTATGCATATTTCACACGACATTGGGACATGGTGTTGTCATCTACAAAAAGTTCACGCTCGAGAACTATACAATTGAGTTCCATACACACACAAAAAAATCACACAAAAAAATCCCATAATGTTTTAAGTAAGTTTACTGTTTTGTGCTGGGCTGCATTCAGAGCTATCCAGGACCATTCACAGCCAGTGGGTATGAGTTGGACCCCACTGGTCTAAACAGTTGACTATGAGAATGATAGACAAGCCTACAGAATGCTAAATAAGGTGATAGAATTAATTTTAGCCTAAGTCTTACTCATCTGAATGTGACAGTTACAATTTCTAAAAATTGTGTTAAAAATGAAGAAGAGTTATTTTAAAATTAAAAATATATATAGCCTACCATTTTTTATGTGTTTAATGTATTGAGTTCTCCAGGAATGTAATGACTATAAAAATAAAAGGAAATTTATATTTCCTTTGTTCAGAATTTTACAAAAAATTCTTCAACTTGTACTTTCAGAGTTGATATTCTATTTTTATTACAAATGTGCAAAATTTTAGAAAGCAAGGCAGTGCCTATTGGCTCAAAGGAGTAAGATGCCAGCCCCATGTACCGGAGGTGGTGGGTTCAAACCCAGCCCCAGCCACAAACTGCAAAAAAAAAAAAAAAAATCTTAGAAAGCAACATAAAACAAAGAAAAAATAAGGCAAATTAAGAGTGAGGATTCTTAGAGACTTGTGACTCAAGAGTTGGTAGAGTCACTAACAGGCAGCTCACACAGGCACACCTTCTGATGTGTAGGTGATGACATTACTGTAGTAATTACATAGCTATAGTATTACTCACTTTTGGTACAATTAAGGTTTAGTCATGGAGTAAAAATACTCCCACCCTAACCAGTCTGCACATTTAGATCATTCATTAGAAAAAAATATTGATTTCTATTCAAACGCTAAAATGCTTAATTTATGCTTTGCAATTAAATATATCATAATAATAAAAAGTAGAGGATAATCTAAATGTCCTTTCAAAAATATGGTGCAATTACATTTCATTTATTCAAGATTGTTTAATACACTTTAAGTGAATACAATATAAATTTTACTATTTTTTTCTATAGTTAAACACTAGAAGTTATTGAGTGCAAAAAAGCAATAATCACGAATACCATTAGCAAGATAGTTAAAGGTTCCCAAACCTGTAGCCCCTCCCACACAGAAATCACCAAAACAGCAAAGAAACAACCATGCGTTGGCTAAAGTAGTGGAGTGGTGGAGTCCATCTGGGGAGCAGCAGAGGCCCTGGTGGAGTCCATCCGCAGAATAGCAGAGGCCCACTGGAGCACAAAGACTCAGGAAGGCTGCATAAAAAATGGAACAAAGACCCTGCTGCCTGCATTTCTCACTCATAAGGATCAGCAAACAACCAGGAGGGACTTTCCCTCCAGAGGAATGGCCAAGATGTAAGTTCCGTCGCTCTCTTGTGCAATACAGTGACTATAGTTACGATGTATAGTTCAAGGTAAGTAGAAGAGAGAATTATGGAAGTTCTTACCATAAAGATGTAATAAATGTCTGAGGGGATGGATATGCTGAATACCCTGAGTTGAGCATTATACAATGTACACATGTATCGAAACTTCACACTGCACCCCTTAAATATGCACAATTACTGTAACTATTAAAAATAAAATAAAATAAAGAGATAAAATAACAGACATTAAATTTAAGGGATAAAGTAGCTATCAAGTTTTCTTCTTTCATTTCTTAAACTGTATTTTATTTCAGATTAATGTGAGGATACAAACAACTAGGTTACAATGTCTGTACTTGTTGGTAGAGTCCCTCTTATAGTCGTGTCCAACACCCACAAGGTGTGCCTTGTACCCTTACATTGTGCCCATTGGGTGGGAGCACACCAAACCCCTCCCTCCTTCTCTATCTTTCATCCTTCCCTCTCACCCCTACTTGTATTGAATTGAATTTTTCTCTTATGTGGGTATGTATCAGATCATCTACTGGCTTCATATCAGTATTGAGTACACTAGATACTAACTTTTCCATTCTTGTGCTACTTTACTAAGAATAATCTTTTATTTAAATGATTTCCCTTAACTGAATATTTATATTTACATTTATTTTTAGTTTAACTTTTTTATATTTCATAAGCATAGCATACATATTTATGATATTTTGATATATTTTATTTTATTTCATTTTCAACCAAGATACAGGAACACTAATAATCTGTGAGATCAAATTTTTACAAACTGTAATGTTTCCTTTGACAAATGAGATTATTTTTATTAAAAAGTAAATGACTGCCTACATATAAATTTAAATATCAACAATTTTGCAAATCAGAGAAAACTGAGGCAACATAATAATTCTGTGTTTATAAAGATTAAATGTTAAATTACAGTTCTGTTTAAATGGACTGTGGGTGTATTGAGTGGTGACAAAGAATGGGAAAAATGCACCCCACTATGAAGATTTAGAAATGAGAAGTAGGAGGACCATCTGGTTTGGAGAATGTTACTCTTTGCCCATCAGTTAAATGTTTGTAAGCATTGTAGAAATTTCTCAAAAGAAGTCTGTGCTGCTTTAAGTAAATGTCATTTATGAAATCAAATATAAATGTTCATAAATGGAATGTGTGGGCAGATACAACATTGAATTTTCTTTTTTGAACAAGATCTCCATTAAAGTGGAGAATTGTTGAAATAGCAGCCAAATCCAAAGGGCAGAAATAATCTACTGTCTATTATATAAAGGCATTAAAAGAGAAGTCATATATTTGAATAGTCTTTTATATTATGATTGTAGAAAATTTAACTTTTTTGTTTTTATTTTTTTGACAGAATACTACTAAATGAGAACAATTTCAGTTAAAATAGAGAAGTTAAAATTTTCCATGAACCTTAGAAATTCAGAGGGATGTTTTACAGTTTTCCTATTAATTCTAGGCAAATATATCTTGTAAATATAGAAGAATGCAGCAAATCTGTGACTGAGCTGAAGCTGATTATTCATTTGAAATTATTTTCTTTCAGATAATAATACACATTGTTTAATGTATATTAATATATAACATTTTAATGTAGATTAAAGTAATGTGATAATTCCATAAAAATTGCAGAGCGAGCATAAAACTCCTGAATAAAATAACTGAAAATCCAGTGGTTTGGTCTTTGATGGGCCAAATGTGAACAAATTTGATTACATTATTCAGTTTTTGCTTAAGTATTTTTACTATTCACTAAGAACACTCTAATGGAATAAGTTACTTGTACTATATCCCACTGTATGTATTATCTTCAAACTTGAGCTTGATGTTTGTATGTCTCCAGAATATTTATACTTTTTCCAATGTATCTTAATAACACTTTACATTGTACACAGGCACAAAAAAATGTACATTTACATTATTCAATACTTACACTGTACACAGAATGCATACCTCAAATACTCTTACAAAATTACTTTTTCAGTAGTACACTATACTACTAAAATATATATGTTCTTGGTAGATCATTTTCTTTTAACTTTTTTTAATCATTCATTTTTAGGATTTTTTTGTTAAAATGCATTTAGTACTTCTTTAAATTCACTTAATCATTTAGTTCACTTAACAAGTGCAATCCTTTTGATATAGTCTTTTGTGACTATAAGAATAGTTGATGCATGTGACTATGTCATCTCAAAAAGTCAAGTAGCTCCTGAATGGAGAGCATCTTTGGAAGAGCCCCAGAGGCCGTGCCTGAGTCGCTGTGCAGTCAGGCCCCACAGAGCTGCTGGCTGACTTTAATGAGGCCACTGTCTGTGTCGACAGTAAATAATCTGGGACATTGTGTATTTCCACAGTGGTTCATCTGTTTTGGCTGAAACTCACTTAAACAATGGTTACATCAATTAAACTCTTTATCTTGCTTCACAATCATTTCTTTTCAATAATTAGCTATTTCAGGTAGGATTGTAGCATTAGATGGCTAAATTGACCAAACCCATGAAAAAGTAAAGCTTTTGGGGATGTAAATTTCAATAGTGATAACTACATGTTTGTAACATTTTAAAAGAAGTTTTAAATTAATTTCAATTATTTTAGATATAGCAATGTTTGTAATTTGTGTCCTTAAAGATGTATATAATCTATATTTCCATGTCATGTTCAGATAACTTTGAAAATAGCTTTTAAGAAACTCATTATATACATAATAAAGGGATATTTGTGGAAACTGCTTTAATGTGTGTATACAGTTCTCTGTAGCTGCAATTCACATGACTTGATCAATAAGAAAGCACTGGTACGACATTTCTATAAGATGTATGAATGCTAAGGGCATTATTAAAATGTTACACGTTTTTGGATGAATATGATATTTTCTCAAACTAGAACAAAGTATTCAGAAATGAAGTGAGATAAAATAAAGAAATATTTTGTGACTACTGAATAAAATATTATTTTATTGTAAGCATTTGGTATAAATATTATAAACCTGATCTAAACACTATTTATAGGAAATCTGCTTGGATCATGTTCACATATCATAGAATTTACATTCCCTTCCCACTCACAAAAAATGTAACCTCTTAGAGGGAAAATATTGATCAACATAAGCAAAGAAATTTTATGACTAGATGGTAAAAGGGGAGTTTCAAAAATCGATACAAGAGTATGTAAAAGTCTCTGGCATTTCAATCAGGCATATTGTCCAATTTGCTTAATTT